TTGGGTTTTCGTCGCTTGGCAACGACGTTGTAAAACAAGCCGCCCCCCCCGGTGTTTGCCATCGGGATTGGGGTTTCGTCGCTTGCCAACGACGTTGTAAAACAAGCAATTTCACGTCGTGAACTCGGCAACCAGGTTTCCGTTTGTTTTTTTTCCCCTGTTTTTTTTTTTGGCGGTAACCATAGTGGTGGTCGAGTAGATCATGTTGTGCGGGGTCGAGAACCCTCACTCCGCGCAAGGGGGATGATCGCACCACGTTGTGTTAAAATGGTCAAGCACCCTCGAGGCAGTAACACAGTGCTTACAACTGTCTCTGAAAGTGAAAGCACCAGAAAATATATCAAGTCGTACGCAGCTGTCATCCGTACGCAAGGAAGTGAGCACAAGATGCCGAACACCCTTAGCAGGATGCANTGTAGGGATGCGAGGTCAATGGTTCAACGACTACGGCATGCACGACTATGAGTCCCCTCCTCCCCCCGGTATTTCTCTAGGTCATTCCTGGAGATGGACACGTTGCTACCATGTTTGTCCGCCGGGGCGTGCACGAAAGAGTTTTCAGTAGCCAACGCATTGGATGAGCTGTCACGGTGGCATCGTTTGTAGTGGTCAGTCGAGACAGCTGTAAATACCGATCGCACACAATGGCCGGTGTTGCTTGCGGTGCACGCGATGTTTTGTTCGTTTCCTGACGACGCTCAGTCCTGCGCGTGGTGTCGTGATCACTCGAGTGTTGTCGAAGCCTTGATCCAGTGACCTACCGGCGTGAGAAGACGTGAGAAACGTGATCTATGCTTGCTTGCCTCTCGCCAGTCAAAATCAGCAATTGCGGAAGTCCAAAAGAATTGCCACGGAAGCAATGGTCGAGAGTCGTGACGTCTTGCAAGAAGATTAGGGAACCGGCAATGAGATTCACATCGGTATCAGCCATCGAGGTTTTGCACCATTGTGTCTTGCCCCACCACTGGGCGGAACACTATTTGATACAATGCACTAGTACAACGCAGCGCAATTAAGCAATCGATGGATATGTCCACCGATGGGTCTGCTCGGCGAATCTAGTGTAGTAAAAAGTTATCGATTGTGCGACCCGGTGTGTTGCTGTTACAATAGGCTAAGCTGGAGGCCAAGGGCGAGGGGAACAAGGGCTCGAGGGAGAAGCTGGAGCCCGGAGAGCTTCGGTCAAGGCTGTTCAAACTCTTCGCGAAGAAGAACGTTTACATGCTCAAGGAGCTGAACCGGGAGTTGCAACAGGCTGAGGTGGGGTGTTTGTGTTTTTTTTTAGGGGGGGGAGGGGTTCTCAAGCAATGCTCATGGGAGCATCCTTTACGAGGGGGGTGCAAGAGGCGAGAGTACTCGGAGGGAGGTGTCCTGCATGATTTCTCCCGCTCTGTTTTTGCTGATTTCATTGGACACTCGAGGCCTGCAGTTGGCGCAATCAACCCAGCAGTTTACAGTATAGTTGGAAGGAGTCATCTGCTAGGGTCGGGCAAATGAGGAGGCTCTTTGGTTGCGATTTGCTGTGTTATGGCAAAATACCCAACACCCGGTAGCTTCGAAAATGACAGAATTACGTGACATGCACATCCGCTTCACATTTCGCAGACAAGTATTCTTGATGCTTGGTTTGACCGAAGGGCCTCTGCCCAAGAGCTGTCGTACTTGGTCAGAATGGAAATCAAATCTACGAGGCCCCGACGTTTGTAGAGTAGCTTTCGCCGCCTCGGTGTGAACAGGCGTCAGCGAGCAATGTTTATTGCGTGTCTACGTCAAGTGTGTAGGCATTCGTCAATGATGACGCAGGGATTTGAAAGGTTCAACGGGGTTACGGCTCTTTTTCAGCTCGAAAGATACTGAATGTTTGACAGCAGTTAGTCCCAAATAGATTTACAACGTCAGCAGATGACTAGCCACAGGACCACTTACTTCCTCGCATTCGTAAATTTCGAGGTATGTACTGTATTGTGGCCACGTGGGTGACAGCCTGCATTCAATCGTTTAACGTGACGCGTTCCTTCGCATACGCTCGTTCACCTTGTTTGTTAATCACTTATGATGCATATCACGCCCGTTTATCCCTTTCGGACAGAAACACCTTCGAGATGGATTGATGGAGATCGCGAGGATGCACACAAGTGGCCCACACCGAAACTACTGGGAGCTCAAACCAGAGTTCAAGACAGCGGGGGAGTCGGCGGGGGCGGGGGCGGCAGCAGGCGGGGAGGCGGGGGGGGGGGC